CACCTTAGGAAGCTTGTTCATGGGGACACAAGGCCGGACGGGCAGACTGCACTGCTGATTCTCCTGTTCCGCCTTGCTTGTTGCTGTTTCGTATCTAGCTCCCGTGTCTGGGAAAGTATGAGCTTTTTCCCTTCACCGCTTTCCGCTGCGGGTGAGATGCTCGTCTTTGTTGGTTTCCTGATGGTGAGATATCGCATCGAGCCCAATGGCATTGGTTGATTGGTTACTGTTGCAGGAACACCCGCAACGCAATATAGTTGCTTTTTCTTTGCTCCCAACTGCCTGGATGCTGCGTTTGCTGTACAGAATGGTCTGCAAATATGCATCTCCTGCTCTCTCCTCAGCTTTCCTCGTCCCTTGCACTGTGTTCCGCCGTAGCATGTCTGACTCCGTCATGCCCTCCGCCGGCCGACCGGAGCCCTCCGGGTGCCGACTACCGAGGAGATACGGCCGCAGCAGCAACGCAACTGGCTGCGGCGGAACAAGCGAGCCTCAGAATGCGCCAAGCGGTCGGAGATTCTTGGCTAAAACGTGAGAGAGGGGCCTCTGCGCTCCGCCAAGGTTGGCGCCATGCACGGAATGCCCCACTCACATGCATGCCATTGGTCAAGAGCAACCAGATGGTGGGAGGCGGCTGGGCGGACGCTCACGTGGTTGATCTTTGAGCCAATAGGAGCGCAGATGGCGGGGTCGGAGGAGTGGCGGGCCAAGCCTTTTCCGAGTGCGTGCAGGGGTGGAAGGGGATAATCCTTTATTTACTTATGAAAATTCTACATACATTAAGAAAATTTTATGCGGCTTTCCACTCGTATTAATTTTTAATCCTTGCGCTTGGTTGTTGTTCTTTGCTTTTCCCGCGCTTTTCTCGGGTCTTGGGGAAAGAAAGACGTGATAAGGCAACTCATCCGGTTTACAGGCAAAAAGCTAAACCACAAATTGTATTTTTGGCTCGCCCTAGAAACTTCATCCAACGCCCTGGAAGGGAAATATCGACATACTTCTCTCCCGTTTCCAAAATCACAGGGAACCCAATAATATATACTCCGTATACAACTATATGTCATGGTTCTCGAGATCCCTGATCGCCAAGCGGCCTCTCCATTACAGTAAATGAGCAAAAGCCGAAAGTAAGTCGGGCGGATGCGATGCCCTGATAGGATCCTGCTGCTCCCTTGACCCACCATACCCTGGGTCGCAGTTCCATGGTCGACGGTGGCCGCGAGAGCAACGCCAGGACTCCTTGACGTCACCGCGAGCCGAACTTGGCCCGCCGTGTCTCTGCGGGTCTTGGCACCTTCGCAGTTTCCGAGGAGGGAGCGGGCGATGCTTGGATATATAAAGAGCGGCCTGTCCCCCACACCCATCAAGCTTCTCCTGCCCCATGGGAAGCAGATAGGATTGTTTACATATCTACCAACCAAACAACTTCCTACAAGGCACATCCAATCGTTTTATCCATCTGCCATTGCTTGATTCAAAGTAGTAGTTAGCTATCTTTGAACCTCAAGCTTCCACTCTATATAACAACAAAGCACTACCTCGCAGACGTATCCCTTCCAACGACGACCTATCACAGAAAAGGACGAGAAGAGCACGAAGAGCACCTTCGTGATGCCTTCCAAGAAGGATGGCATAAATCAAGAGTATGAGCAGCATCCATTCCTGCTCTCAGTCGACCGCCTCGCCCAGCAGCTCGATACCAACATCGACACCGGCCTGAACGATGCAAAGGTCAGCCAGCTTCAGGAGAAGTATGGCCCCAATCGGCTGTCTGGAGAGGGGGGTGTCAAGTGGTACACCCTCCTCGGAAAACAGATATCAAATGCCATGATACTAGTAAGTCTATACCTTCCCCCTTATCTCTTCCCACCCACTTCACTTCGCCCATCTAGTCTAGAGTTCTTCCTGGTGTTGTAAGCATACACTATGTATGTACGGTAGAATCATTCTTAGGCAATGGTGGAGCGGATGCACTCTTGTTGATATATGATATGGGATCCCCTTTTCAATTTGCGTACATGGTGGCAACCAAATAGTAACACTGTTTCTCTCCCTAGGTCCTAGTGCTAGCAATGGCCCTCTCATACGGTGTCTCCGATTATATTGAAGGCGGTGTCATCACTGCTGTCATCGTGATCAACGTCCTTATCGGATTCTACCAGGAGTTCAAAGCCGAGAAGAAAATGGACTCCTTGCGATCTCTGTCTTCCCCTTCTGCCAACGTCATTAGAAATGGCAACTCCATCACCGTCCCATCAGGAGAAGTTGTTCCAGGAGACATTGTCCAGATCAAGACTGGAGATACTGTTCCTGCCGACCTGAGGTTATTTGAAGCCATGAACCTCGAGTGTGATGAAAAGATCTTGACTGGAGAGGCTGCCCCTGTTGCCAAAGATACCGACTTCGAAACTAGTGGTGACGAAGTGACCGTAGGTGTTGGAGATCGCCTTAACATGGCCTACTCATCCTCCACCGTCACCAAGGGCCGAGGCCGTGGAATCATCGTTTTCACCGGAATGTACACGGAGATTGGTAAGATTGCACAGTCTATGCAAGGGAAGAAGAGGAAAGCCGGCCGCTCAATGTCTTCTAAGCATGGTACCTTCCAACCAGTCAAGGGAGGTGCCTTGCGTATCTGGGATGCAATCGGAAAGTTCCTCGGCCTCACCGAGGGGACTCCGCTGCAGATTAAATTGAGTAAACTTGCGTATTCTCTCTTCGGATGTGCTATCTTGCTTGCAATCATTGTCTTCGGTGTCAACAAGTTTAACGTAACGGACGAAGTCGCCATCTATGCAATTTCAACTGGTAAGCAAATACCCGTGTGTTATTCAACAAATGTTTGGAACCTCCAGTGAACCATTAAAATAGGAATTGCTATCATCCCAGAACCCCCAATTGCTGCCTCACAATCACAATGGTGGTTGGGATGACCCAAATGCGAAAGCAACGAGTGGTCGTTCGGCAGCTTAGCGCCCTCGAGGCTCTGGGAGGTGTTACCAATATTTGCTCGGATAAAACAGGAACCCTGACTCAGGGGCAAATGGTAACACGTAAAGCATGGCTTCCTGGAGTTGGTATTTATTCTCTCACCAAGTCCAACGATGCCACGAACCCAACACGCGGAGTCATCTCTCTTGGAAAGTCACCAGCAACCAGACAGGAGGCGGAACAGGAGCGTGAACGCAAACGCGCAGAGCAAGATGCACTTCGAAGTGCCGCTGGCTTGAAATTTGACGTCCCCGCTGAAAAGGAAGAACGAGACCAACGGCGAAAGGAGGAGATTCGCAATGAGAAGCAAGCAGAAGAAGATGAAGATGATGATGAAGTACCTGAAGGCGCAAGTCTCCCGGAAGTCGTCCCCGAGCTGGCTGCTTTCCTTGAATCGGCCGCATTGTGCAATCTGGCAACTGTCCGTTATGATGAGACTGCCGGCTCCTGGCAAACAATGGGCGACCCAACTGAAGTTGCTCTGCAAGTGTTTGCTCACAGGTTTGGATTTGGCAAGAAATCTCTCGAAGCCGAGAATGGGTGGAAGCCTTTGGCTGAATACCCCTTCGATAGCACCGTCAAACGCATGTCCGTCATCTACCGACGTGACAAGGAGGCTGGAACTGTGATTTTCACCAAGGGAGCAGTCGAAAGGATCTTGGATCTCTGCACCTCTGTTGGATTTGGCGATAAGCGAGAGCCAATGACCCCTGAAATAAAGGAACAAGTGCTCGATCAAATGGGATTCCTTGCTGAGCAGGGACTCCGAGTCCTAGCAATCGCTCAGAAGCCTGGCCCGGACGATTTCTACAAGAACACTGAAATACCAAGAGACCAAGTTGAATCCGACCTGACATTGTTGGGATTAGCTGGCTTATACGACCCTCCAAGACTGGAAACCAAGGACGCAGTAAAAGGTACGTACCAACTGACTTAATTCTTTTGACACCACATTTCGTAATGCTAACCACCATCGAACATATAGAATGTACCATGGCTGGAATCCGTGTCCATATGTTGACTGGTGACCACCCTTCCACCGCAACCGCCATAGCAAAGGAAGTAGGAATCATTCCTCGCAACACCGGAACCTTATCTGTAGCAGAATCGGCATCTCTTGTCAAAACCGCCGCTGAGTTCGACGCAATGACTGACCAGGAGATTGACGCTTTGCCCTCCCTACCACTTGTGATTGCTCGCTGTGCCCCTGACACAAAGACTCGAATGATCGCTGCTCTTCACCGCCGCGGCAGATATTGCGCCATGACGGGAGATGGAGTTAATGATGCACCCTCGCTGCAGGCCGCTGACGTTGGAATTGCCATGGGTATGGGTGGTTCAGATGTTGCAAAATCAGCATCTGACATCGTGCTCACGGATGACAACTTTGCCAGTATTGTCAATGCCATCGAGGAAGGACGAAGAATGTTTGAAAACATCCAAAAGTTCATCCTCCATCTTCTAACCTCAAACATTGGCGAGGTTGTCCTTCTCATTATGGGCCTTGGATTCAAAGATCGGAACGGATTTTCTGTCTTCCCCCTTTCACCACTGCAGATTCTATGGATCAACATGTTGACCTCCTCGTTCCCTGCCTTTGGTCTAGGCCGTGAAAAGGTTTCCGCTGCAGTGATGCATCGTCCTCCACATGATACTAAGAAAGGTGTTTTCACCTGGCAGATCGTGGTTGATATGATGGTCTATGGTGTCATAATGGGAGCCTGTACATTGCTGACCTTCGTCATTGTGGTTTACGGCGTTGGAAACGGCATGGAAGATCTAGGAATTGATTGTAATCATCGCGCCAGCGATAGCTGCAACGTCGTTTTCCGTGCTAGAGCAGTGGTCTTCGCTGAGCTCACCTGGCTCATCCTCATCTCAGCATGGGAATTCAAGCATCTTCGTAACAGCATGTTCAACCTTGAACCATACCGTGACCACAGCGACGATACCGTTCCTTTCTTCCCCTTCTTCCACGACATCTGGGAGAACCAATTCCTCTTCTGGGCCGTCGTGATCGGAGCCCTCTCCGTTTTCCCAGCCGTCTACATTCCCGGCCTGAACACGAAAGTGTTCAAGCACCAGGGTATCACCTGGGAATGGGGCCTTGCCTTTGGATCAGTCATAATATTTGTTCTTGGTATCGAGGCCTGGAAGTTTGTCAAGCGACGCACCGGTTGGTTCGCAGAGGGCGAAGATTACGGTGGTGTCGCTGCCACTGGCTTCCGCCGAAGATGGCCAAGCCACGAACTTGGTCTCCGCCAAGGCTTCTTCACCTTTGCCAAATCTCTTACCAAGGGCAGCGAAAGGAGTATTCCCGTGGGCCCAGAGAGCGGCAGGTCGAGTGTTATGGGCAGAGAGAATCCTCGTCGTCTTGATGACGGCGGGAGAGCGAAGGAAACGGTTTGATTTTGTTGTGGTTCTTTCAGGTTACCGAAAGAGAAAAGATTGGGCTTTATAACTAGATATTATGAAGATATGATTTGCGGCTCTATCTGTGAAGATAACAGATGTGATTAATGAGCAAAGTTGGAGAAAGGGCTGAGTTGAGCTTCACCCGAGCATATAGTTACGACTTAATATATCCCTGAGTTTACACTGTTTTATTCGAGTTTATGTTTCTAGGAAAGTTGTATGTCATGATATCCACTGAAAGTTCACCATAAATAATGTTATATGTCGGAATTCACAATATATATATAAATATATAAACAGAAGCTTGATAGTTTCCTTCGCTGTTTGTTCATGTTGACTCTGTTCGAGGACTACTAGCCTCTTCGTTTTTATTCTCAGGCCCCTTATCAGTTACTTCCCAGTACCAATCAAACCATGATTGAATAACAGTGCGATATTCACTTTTGTCATATATCGACGCGAAGGTCCCGCACCCATATTAGGGTCAGGATGTGCCACAGTAGACGTTGCAAAGTCTACTAAAACAATCGGTCGAGTGCGCCAGGTACACCTGGTTTTATTGTTGACTATAATATCTTCCGGAAGTATTTCACCATGCCAAAACCCATGGCTGTACACTGCAATTTCAGCATTGATCAGGCGGTCCAAATTCCCTGGCGTTCTTGCTGGGAAAAGTCTCCGGGCCTAAATGATGCCATTGACCGTCCAGGGATATACTCCAAGAGAATCAACCGGACAAGACGATTCGTATTTTGTCCCGGAGCAGGTAACTCCAGAGTGAACGACCCGTATAATTTAGGTATACACTTTCCATGCAATGGTTCCAAGGCTAAATACGCCGCAACTTCGTGCGAATAGTTGTAATCTTGAAGATAAAAGGGGTCGTCTAACTCTGAATCATGGTCGTTGTAAAGAGGATCATAAAATTTGGCTAATAGAGTTGTATTTTTCCATGGCCCTTTGGCTTTGGTAGGATGAACATCCAAAATATCGACAAGCCCTACCTGTGAGCTGTGATTGTCTCGAAATCGAATTTCCCTGGATATTTTAAAACGGACAAATTGGTGCCCAGCGTGGCCCGGGGAGGGAGGGTGTATCAGACAGCGTTCGAGAGGGTGTTTCAGTTGTCTCTCAAAGCGTCCATTAATATCCAGTGTAAATAATCCCGAAGGTGGTCTAGCCATTGGAGGTGGAGGAGTATGAGAACTGACGGTAAACTCCTGCCCTGAAAAATAGGGCAATGGAGGCTTGCTGGCTCGATTTAGAGTACAATAGCTCTCCATTAGTTCATTGTAAAGCGTTGGGAGGTGCATCCCGGCTGCATCGTTGGGGTCCATTTTGTTTCTGGCCCTGTCAAAAGATAGTTAACTACGTTAACTAATGTCAAAGAGACTTGTCCAAATGAGTGAACTATTTAATACCAACTAGTGCTAAGCAGGCTGAAGTTACATATTTGACAGATCATTTCAAACCTAATACATAGGCATATTGGAGGAGATGGCAGCGAATATTGACTTACAACTTGAAGTCTTGGCCGAGATGAGTGATGTCAGACATCGCCGCGGATACTCAACAAAGTAGACAGCAACTACCTCCTACCTAGCTAGATACCCGTTTATAGATACTCGCCTATAGTTATTCACCATCATCGCTCATTCACACGGCATTGAAACATGAAATTCATCTACGTAATTCACTACTATGATTCTTGTTAAATAGACAGCTCATCCAGAACGTCGCCTTTTAAAATTCCATGCCCTGCCAATACAACCACCGACCCTTAGGAGGCGACAGCCGGTCTGGTACTCCTCCTCATAAGTACCCGGACTGCGGTTGAGCAACCCAGCCCTACTATACCTAGGCATAAGATCTATTCCATCGCCGACTGTGATCTGTCGACCTTCGGCACATGTACTGCTAATAAACTATGCTGACGACTAAATTACCGTACAACGGTGTTGCACCCTGTGGAGTTGATTTTGAACTCCTTTGACTAGGAATGGGCCCTAACCGCTAGTTATGCGGGTCAATAATAGGTTTAACTGTTTGGACCTATGTAGGTCGGAAATGTGGAAGAGGCACTACGCCTCATGCACCAACAAAGAAAGAATATATACTTCCCAACTCCTCCAAGCTCTCCGTTATAAGGCGTGGCCCTTTCCGCGTCCTTCGGAAGGCCTCCGACCTTGCTTACCACCTAGAGTTACCGGCCTCGTGGAGGATACACCCGGTTATCTCAGTGGCTCACTTAGAGCCCTGCAACGCCGATGCAGAGGACTTCCCAGCCGACGACGACCTCGAGCCACCACCCGTCCAGGTAGGAGACCACGAGGAATGGGAGGTTGTAAAGCTTGTCGTACTTCAAAGCGGTGACGGCTTGGGACTGCCACCATTTCAAAGCTGCTGAATATGAGGACAAATCTTCAGATATCCCTGCGCCGATATGGATAGCTTAGACATCAGTGAATAACATACCTTATACCTACGTTTGAACAACTATCGCTCAACCCGCTCAAAGCCCGACAAACCAATAGTCGAATGCATCAAACAAGTCCCTGATGCACTCATAGCCAGGTTAGGAGAATACCTCTCACGCATTGCAGACTCGCCTAGATCTGCGATGCTTAGGGTCTACGTCTTCCACGCATCCAAGGAGACTACAAGAGACCCTACAAAACAATCCATGGTTACCAACAATATAGACACGCTCCTGGACCGTCTAAGGAAATGTCAATGATCGGGATTAGCCGGAATATGATGTCTCCGACAGTGTTTATAGAAGATGGTGAGCTGAAAGTATACCCCATTGGAAAGAGTATACCAGCCTATGAAATTGCGACAACCGAGGTTACTGCAATTGGTCAGGGAAAAGCAGAATACAAGAAAACCCATGACAAGATTGTTGAGGGCCACAGCATCAACCCTGCTCCTGACGACATACGCAACGTGGTACACACGTACCCTTGCGAACAAGCCTAGCCGTGATTGATAGCGCTTCCGGTTGACAGCACCATCGTTTTCCAAACCGAGGCAGATGTTCTCCGAGCAAGCTCTATAGAACTGCTATACCCCGTGAACAAAGCCCTATGTGGAATCCTTGATGAGGGTGAAAGGGTACATTGTGGAGGCGAACGGAAAAACTCAGCACTGCCGTGTCGACTTAAGATGGACGTACCAAAAAGACGACCAAACCGAACAGAAGGTCTTCGCAATTCTGGAAATCAAAAACACCAGGATTATTCACGAAAGGGAATTTTGGCCGCCAGCATCGGAAGGCAATGAAGTAATGGGTATACCGCATACGCAGATGCATGGTAACGCGGTGCATCTAATGAGCCAAATCCTCAAATAGTCCAGCGTTCCCGACCTGGCAGTGTTCGACTGGAACACTATGGCAATCTTCGACTTCACGGGGTATCATCTTGAGTCCCAACCACCCAGCTGCCCAGCGGTCCCAGTAATGAGAGACTGAATTTGGACCACAAGTCCACGAAACCCACCGACCAGACGGAGTAGCGGCCGCCGACCCGCAAGGCTTGTCTGTAAAACCCACGGGAATACATCAGGTATTTTTGCGTAATCATTTTATATTCAAACAGGCCTTCCCTGCCAGGTATTGATTGGTAGATCGGCCTGAATATAAGTTTAGAGGCACTCACAGATGCTAACGCAAGAGCAAAGCCAGTTAAGATCCGGAATCCTCAACGACGATTGTGGGCTGGGAAAGACAGTCCAGTCTCTCGGGCTTATTAGCGAAGTAGCTAAACGCGCCGGTCCTGGTTCATACACTCCTACTCTGGTCATGGTTGGAGCCAGCGTCTTGTCTGTGTGGCTCCTCTGACGGGTCGTATGCGGCGCCTGATCCGTCTCCGAACAAATTAACCATGTGGATGACGAGGCTGACATGTATTGGATAGCCAATCCCTCGTCGGATCCGAATTCTGTACTGGGAAGCTTGAGAAGATTTCAAAGATGTCAACCAAGACGAGGTTTTCTCTTTGCTCGCGAGCAGATGGAGTTGGGGTTTTTGAATCGCCCACCACCACCAAACTCCAACGATTCTAGAGAGGAAGAGATGGTGACGACGCCAAGAGCACAAACTCCGACTCGGAGCTCGCCTGGTAAGTATATGGTTTGATGCGCGCACTAAACTGGCCAAGGGTATAACGAAGCTGACGTGTATTTGATAGCCAATCCTCGACCTCAGTTGGGTTCTATGCTTGGTGGTACTGGAGCACCACAGCAGGATCATTTACTGACTGTCAATGATATGGATCTTGATGAGTTGGACTTGGTAACTACCACTAGTTACCGGATCTTGGCGAAGCGCAAATGCACGCTGCACTCGCGGAAAGCTCACAAAAAATAAAACGAGACTTGGACTGGTGGAGGGAGTCAGAGGTATAAACAGGCCAGCACCGAGTTCTGCATTTTAATCCTTTCACGTTCTCCCCATTCTCTTTTCTATTTTCCTTTGTTTTTAGACTGTGTTATTTCTCCTTGGTGTTGCATGCGAGGTAGAATTGGAGACGTTAGTTATAGACGGAGTCAAGCGGTTGATCAAGTTGATGTCCCTGTTTGCACTGTTTGCAGCCTTATTTAACTAGCAAAGAACCTAATTGAAAGTTGCAGCGAAGAAGAAACATCCAAGTAAACAACAGTAAAAGACGAGTACAGACGGCGATTGAAGAGCTCTACCGACCTGATACCTGATACCACTGCCCTGCTGGCTCCATGGCACTGCCATAATTGACTCGGGTCGTACCAATTGCCTGCTTCTGGTCCGAGATATCACCGTTCTAACCTCCCTTCGACATCCCAGCTACTACATCTACACTACCATGGCTCAAGCAAGCCGAACACAGCGCTGTTTGCGACGGTATATATCTGTACCTGACGCCCTACTGCCTCGAACAATCCACAATGGCTCGTCCCTTGCCGCACGAAGCCTCACACGCACACACACACGACGAAACCACTCAACGACACCTCCTCCTCCTCCTCCACCACCACCGCACTCCTCTACCTCTTCTTCCTCGGTATCGTCAGCGGAAATGAACCATTTCGCAACTTTGGCGAGTAGTTGGTGGGATCCCCTTGGTCCATCTCGCATATTACATCTTATGAACCCGCTCCGACATGACTTTATCGCTTCGTGTCTCGGCCAGCAACAGCAGAAAGAAGGTGGTTCCGGCCTACGGTATCTAGACATTGGATGTGGAGGAGGGATATTTGCCGAATCACTCGCAAGGACGATACCGAGCAGCTCCAGTGCAAGTTCGACAGGAACAAACGCAACGTCTCTATTAGCTATCGATCCGTCGCCTGTGATGATTGAGATTGCGCTTTCCCACGCCCGTAAGGATCCAGCGTTACACAACCACCTTCAAACGGGCCGGTTCGAGTACCGAAACACCTCGATGGAAGAGCTGGAAGGTTCCACGCAAGCAGACGAACGGTTCGATGTAGTTACCTTGTTCGAGGTGCTGGAACACGTTGATCCGGAACGGTCGTCGCCTAGGGCGTTTCTGCAGAAGTGTCTTGATCTAGTGGCTCCGGGCGGATGGCTTGTTGGGTCGACTATTGCGCGCACCTTGCCTGCGTACGTGGTTAACCAGGTGATTGCGGAAGCGCCGTGGCCTATTGGGGTTGTCCGAAGGGAACGCCATGAATGGAGCAAGTTTTGTGTATCCGAGGAGCTGCTTGGGCGGGTGAAGGGGTTGGGGGGGAGTGGAGGTGTGTAGGGGCGATGTATGCGCCTGGGATAGGGTGGAAGATGGTTCCTGGCACGGAGTCGTGGGGGAATTATTTCTGGGGTATTAGGAAGGCGTGTTAAGTTGCGTTGCATTATATTGTTGGGGTGTGTGTATAGTAGATGTATTATAGAGATGGAGTAATATGGTGATGGTCTTCATTAACTATGTATAACTAGATAGAGACGAGCAGAAACAGAACAGACAGCCGACTAACAGTAACAGTAAGAATAACGACGATGCCGCTGCTCCAGCTCCAGCTCCAGTTCCTGCTTAACGTAATGTGATGGATAGATAGATGATGCCGATGAGAAAAGCAGTGGGAAGAATAACTCGTAGATGTAGATGGGATGTATAGATAGAGCCGTGGAAAGACATCAACAACAAACAGAAAAACAGATAGGAGAGATGATCAAGGAAATAAATAGGAAAAACATAGATAAGACATAGGAAAGAAAGGAAAATAGGAAATAACTAGCTGGATAAATATTGAAATGATGATGTGGAGATTGATGATGATGATGCTATTATGAAGGCGGATGGATGGGAGAGCGGGAGAGCGATGCACTCAATGAAGAGCAGAGGGTATCTCTATAGGGGGAGCCAACATAGGAAATGGAGAAAATAGGAAATAACAAAAAGAAATTTGCTAATAATACCACGGATGAAATGACGCTTGCTTTGCTTTGCTCTCGAACCTAGACAACAAATAGAGAAAATGTTGGGGTTGATTGGTGTTAGAGCTCAAGCTTAGGTTTCATCTCGTAATTCTCTGGCTCGGACGACTGAGGTCTTCGCGGGAAGAACATGTGAGGCGTTATACCGCCGGGATACTGATGGCTGGCGGGCTCCGGGTAGGAGTATTCCGGTGCTGAGGCCGAGCTGGGAGAGGGCATGCTGCTCAGAGTAGGGGATGCCCAGCCGACAGACGACAGATGAGGACTGCCCGCGACGCTGTTTGGTCGAGGATCACTGTTTGCCGGTGGTTCGAGGGGTTGAGGGGGAGCGTAGCCTGACGGGTGGGAGGTCAGGGACGGCCTGTTGTGGTTGTGGTGGTGGAACGAGGCGGGACCGGAGAGGCTGGTGAGAGTTGGCGAAGGGGAGGTGGGAGAGGCGCGAGGACTGGAGTTTGCAAAGTCTGTTCGGAGATGGGGCGGGAGGGAGGTGTAGTAGTCTGCTCCGCCTGAGGAAGTAGGCCCGGCCGACGGGCGGGAGAGGTTGAGCGGCGGGAGTTCGTTGCCGGGCGAGAGAGAAGGTCGCTGGGCCGGAGAAGGAGTAGAGTGAGCAGAGCCGGGCTCGGAGTAGTCCGAGGGTCTGGTGGTGGTGGTGCGGTCTTTGCTGTGGCGGAGGTTTGCTTCTGTCTCTGCGGCGGCTTCTTCGATGGTGCCGGTGTGGTGGTTCTGGTGGCGGGTGAGGGTGGTGCGGCGGGTGAAGGTCTTCTGGCAGTTGGCGTAGGGACACTTGTAGGGTCTCTTGCCGGAGTGGATTCTGCGGTGTCTGGCGAGGGAGCTAGAGTCGCTGAAGGGCTTGCCGCAGCGGTCGCACATGTGTGGCTTTTCGCCGGTGTGGACGCGGGTGTGGACGGTCAGGGCAGAGCGCTGGATGAACTGTTTACCGCAGCCGGGCCAGTCGCACGCATGCGGTCGAATTCCACTATGAATGCGCTCTACTCCAGTCAGTAACACGCCCTTTTTTTTTTTAGCTAATAGAAGTATAAAAAGAGTGACTTACCGTGTCTGGCGAGGTCGCTTCGTCTGGCGAACCCTTTGCTGCAGGTCTGGCAGTGGAAGGTCTTCAAGGCCGGCAGACCAGTAGGTCTCATGTTGCCTCCGCTACTCCTGCCGTAGTCTGAGCCGTGCGCGCTGTGAGCATAGCCAGGATTGGGGCTGCTGTGGTTCGCCTGGGCCTGAACATGGTACTGGGCGAGGTGAGCCATCTGAGGCAGCGACTGGGTTGAAGAAGGGAAACTCGAGGTCGGCTGGTGGTGATGGTGGTGGTGGTGATGTTCGCTCGGGGGCGCGGAGGCGGATCGGTGGTGCTCTGAGCCCATCTCCGAGGGGGACCTGGACTTTAGGACATCGTCTGTCTGGGCCTGGGCGTGGACGATGTGCTGCTGGAGCCTGTGGACGTCAGCTGCGACGACGGAGACAGAGGCCTTTCTGTTCAGTATTGTAGTTATATCCATGATGTGGCCGCTACCCAGGGGTAGAAGTTTGTCGAGAGGCGTGAAATCCCGGATCATATACTACACCACCGTTAGACGATGACAATGATAACAACAGCGTTTAATGCGACTGACGTACCTTGAATATATAAGGAATCGGGCCTTAGGTAGACCAATAATGCCTTGTCTTGTTGCAGTCTCGTCTCGTTTTAAATTAAGAGTGCGGGATGCCGGCCAGATGCAGAGCCTTATTCGGGCTATTTCTGTCTCTGGTCGCTGGACTCTGATCTCGGATCGGATCTCTGGACTCTTGTCTGTCTGACGGGGAGCGGATGCGGTGCAATGCAAGGAGCACGAGTCACGCAGTGTCCCCCCTTTTTGCTTCTTCCGTTTCTTCTTTTTCCCTTCCGTGACTCTTCCGTTCGAGCAGCGGGCGACGGCTGGCTGCGTCAAGATTCCGTTCCAGGGCCACCCGCGGATAGCTGCAGGTAGATTTCAAGGTGGGTGAGTGGGTGGTAGATGCTGCTGTAGATATGTCGTATTACAGTGATCCCTTTTTGCTCCTTTTTTTAGCCCTCCGTCTAACCTCTATTCTCGTCAGTCGTCGGGTCGTTCAATGGAGGCCCCAGTCTATATAATGATATTTTCGTGAGGTCGTTTTTGGTCGTGTCTTCGTGTTGGAAAGGGGGAAGGTTTTTATTTTTTGTTTAGTGGGGAGGAAGAAGCCGAACAGTGGCGAGAGGCTGGGAGATGTTAGCCAGTGAATAGATAAGAGAAGAAGCAGATGCAGAAGAGTAGAAGTAGAAGAAGAGTCGGGGTGAATTCAATGAGAAGAGTGATGCTGGTGGTGATGTTGGTGATGCTGGTGAAGCCGAGTCTCTACCACAGCATCAACAGCAACGACAACAAACTACAACCATTGCAGCCGTAGAGAGTAAAACGAGAGCAGGCAGAGCAGAGCAGACACTGGCCTGTCTGTCTGCACCATCTGCAGCAGCAGGAGAGGCCAGCGAGAGGCCAGCGAGAGGCCAGAGAGAGGCCAGAGAGAGGCCTGGGATGCAGGGGAAATACGACAGAGAGAGCACGAGAGCCGCAAAAGACGGTGAAGAGACGCACCTTGAGACGAGTAGAAGTAGACGTAGTAGAAGAAGTAGAAGTAGGAGTAACTGCACCAACTACAGCGACCAACAAGAGAAGAGAGAAGCGACCTCATCGTCGAGTCGCGAAGTTGGAGATGTGATGATGTGAAGTGGGAGTCAGAGGTTGAGTCTTGAAGGTGATCAGGAGAAGGAGTCGGAAAG